ATGTAACACAGTAACAGCTAGCAGGGGGTGGGAAGAAAGGGGAGAAGAAGCTCTCCCCTTCTCAGGCAATGTCCTTGAAGGGTTAATTTGCCTAGAATGGTGAAAGAAAAAGCTGCCTTTGTGTGAACTTCTGTAGATTGTGAACTTCTGAGCCCTTCCCCTTACACACTGGGTATAAAGTTCTGAAATTCCCTGAACTTGGGGTTTAGGGCTATTGATTACAGCGAGAGCTTTGTCCTCTGAATTTGGCTGCAGCCAAATAAATCTGTTTTTTGCTGTCTTTGGTGTCTTGCCTCATCTGTCCCCTAAAACAAAATTGAAGTGGCCTATCAAAAGCCTTCCAACAAAGAAAAGCTCAAGATTGGTGGATTCTCAGCTGAATTTTACCAGACCTTTAAAGAAGAACTAATACCAATCCTCAAATAATTCCATGAAATAGAAAAAAATGGAACTCTGCCAAACCCATTCTATGAAGTAGTATCACCCTGATGCCAAAACCACACAAAGTCACATCAAGGAAAGAAAATTTTAAACCAATAGCCTGGATGAACATAGATGCAAAAATTTTTAATAAAATATTTTCAATCCACATACAAGATGACATTAAAAACAGTGCATCATGATCAAGTGGGTTTCATTTCAGGGATGCTAAGTTTGCTTCAATATATAGAAATTAATAAATGAAAGCGTCAAGGTCAAGAATCACATAATGATCTCAGTAGATGCAGAAAAAGCATTTGACAAAGTACAGCACTTATTAATGTTTAAAACGCTAGAAAAACTGGGGATAGAGGGATTTACCTCAACATTTGTAAAGTCTATATAAGACAAACCCCAAGGCCAACATAGTACTGAATGGAGAAAAACTTAAAAGCTTTTCCTTTAAAAACAGGAACAAGACAGGGATGCCCATTTCCACCAATCCCATTCAACATAGTCCTTGAAACTCTAGCCAGAGCAATCAGGCAAGAGAAGGAAATTAAAGGGGTACAAATAGGAAAAGAACTCAAATCATCTCTATTTGCTGATGACATGATCATATATTTAGAAGACACCTCTGCCCCCCAAAAAACAAAAAACAAAAACCAAAAAAACCTTCACCCGAAGACTTATGAGACTGATAAATGTATTCAGGAAAGTAGTAGGGTACAAAATCATTACTCATAAATCAATCGTGTTCCTATACTTAAATGATGAATCTGCTGAAGAAGAAATTAGGACAACTATCCCATTCACAGTAGCCTCAAAAAAAAAGGGGAATCAATTAAAAAAAAAAGGTGAAGAGCCTCTACAATGAAAACTATAGAACACTAAAGAAAGAAATTGAAGAAGGTCTTAATAGATGAAAAGACCTCCCATGTTCTTGGAGAGGCAGAATTAATATTGTCAAAATGGTCAGACTACCAAAAGCACTATGCAGATTTAATGCAATCCTGGTCTGGATTCCAATGATATTCTTCACAGAACTGGAAAAAACAATTCTGAAATTCATTTGGAAAAATAAGAAACCCAAAATAGGCAAAGTAGTCTTTGGAAAAGCAAAGCAGGAGTCATCTCAATACTGGACCTTAAACGATACTACAAACTATAGAAACAAAAACAGCATGGTACTGACAAGAAAATACACATGAAGAACAATGAAATAGAGCAGAAAACATGGAAAGAAATCCACATAAAAATGTATGTTGGAGAAAAGGTAGCCTTTTATACAAATGGTGCTAGGAAAACTGGAAATCCATATGTAGAATAATGAAATTTGACTCCTCTCTCTCACCCTGCAAAGACCTAGGAATTATACCAAAAACCCCGTAACTGCTAGAAGAAAATGTAGGTCCAACTCTCCAACATGTTGGTACAGGAACTAGCTTTCTTTTCTTTTCTTTTCTTTTTTTTTTTAAAGAAAGAGAGAGAGAGAGAATTTTTTTTAATATTTATTTTTTAGTTCTTGGCGGACACATCCTTGTTTGTATGTGGTGCTGAGGATCGAACCCGGGCCGCACGCATGCCAGGCGAGCGCGCTACCACTTGAGCCACATCCCCAGCCCCAAGAAACTAGCTTTCTGAAGAAGACTACCAAAGAGCAAGAAGTAAAGTAAAAAATAAGTGGGCGGCTGGGGATGTGGCTCAAGCGGTAGCGTGCTCACCTGGCATGCATGTGGCCCGGGTTCGATCCTCAGCACCACATACAAACAAAGATGTTGTGCCCGCCGAAAACTAAAAAAAAAAATAAATATTAAAAAAATTCTCTCTCTCTCTCTCTCTAAAAAAAAAAAAAATAAGTGGGATGGCATCAAATTAAAACACTTCTGCACAGCAAAGGAAACGAGTGTGAAGGGAGACCCTACAGAATGGGAGAAGATCTTTGCCACCTGCTCCTCAATTAGGGCATTAATATCCAGAGTGTACAAATAACTCAACACCAAAAAAACAAGTAACCCAATCAATAAATGGAAAAGAACCAGGTGCAGTGGCACATGCCTGTAATCCCAGTGGTTTGGGAGGCTGAGACAGGAGGATGGTGAGTTCAAAGCTAGCCTCAGCAATGGTGAGGCACTAAGCAACTCAGTGAGATCCTGTCTCTAAATAAAATACAAAATAGAGCTGGGGATGTGGCTCAATGGTTAAGTGCCCCTGAGTTCAATGCCCGGTAACTCCCCGTAATGGAAAATAAATAATTCTCAAAAGAAGAAATATATGAAAAAATATTTAGCATTTCTAGCAGTTAGGAAAATGCAAATCAAAACTACATTGAGATTTCATCTCACTCCAGCCAGAATGGCAATTACAAATAATATTGCTGAGAATGTGGGGGAAAAGGTACACTCATACATTGTTTGTGGGGACTGCAAATTAGTACAGCCACCCTGGACAGTAGTATGGAGAATCTTCAAAAAACTAGGAATGGAACCACCATATGACCCAGCTATCCCACTCCTCCATATATATCCAAAAGATTAGAAATTAGTATATTACAGTGATGCAGCCACATCAATGTTTATAGTCACACAATTCATAATAGCCAAGCTATGGAACCAACCTAGGTGCCCTTCAACAGATGAATGGATAAAGAAAATGTGATGTATATGCACAATGGAATATTACCCATAATGAAAAATGACATCATGACCTTAAGTGTAATAAGCCAGTTCCCAAAACTTGAAAGGTTGAATGTTTTCTATAATATGTTGAAGTTAATCCAAAATGAAAAGAGGGGATGGGAATTAAGAAAAAAAAGGAGAGAGAATTTCATCAAAATAGAGGAAAGATAAGTAGAGTAGGCAAAGGGAGAAAGAAGGGAAAAGAAAAGTGAAGTACAGTGGAATGAATCTGATGAACTTTTTTATGTGCATGGATGTGTACAGTGGGTCCCAGCATAGGGTGTATTGACAGGACAATAATTAAAAAAAAATGTAAATGGATTGAAGAGGGATCCATTGAGTGGAGGGAGGGGAGCTAGATGTGGGTGAGAAGTACTGGGGACTGAGTTGGAGTGAATCATGTTCCATGCTTTTGTGATAATTTCAGGGTGTATCCTGGTGTTGTATATTACTAAAAAAAAATAAATAAAAAAGCCAAGATCAATAGTTGTTGCCTTTGTTTCTGTGAAAGAGAATATCTTGAGTTCTCTTGACCTTTTCTTTGTGGTTCCAAGGTAGCTGCTAAAGCTCCAGCAAGCATACTTACATTCTGGGCAGGAAGAAGGAATAATGCACAAAATACTTCCATTTGCATCTCATTGGCTAAGAAACACGTGGCTACCCTTGGCTATAAGGGAGTTAGGGATATGATGTCATTTAACTAGATACATATTACATCAATACATTCTGAGTTCTGTTAATAAGAAATAATGGGTAAATAAATATTGAAAAACAACTAACATCTGTGCTACAGATGAAATTGTTATTTCAATATAAAATACTTTTTAATGGTTCAAAAAGTTCTAAAGTAATACTTCAGAAAATAACCATATTGTTTGTTTGAATGACAGCTGTGTGATTGGGTGTGTGTGTGTGTGTGTGTGTGTGTGTATATATATATATATATATATATATATATATATATATATATATATTAATATACATATATTTTTTAATTTGTTGGTACTTGGAACTACACTTGGCTGTCATTTTTATTTTTAAATTTGAGACAGGGTTTTTCTGAGTTCCTGAGTCTGGTCTTGAACTTGCAATTCTCCTGCCTCAGCCTTTTGAATTGCTGGGATTATAGGCATGCACTACTGTGCCCAGCTTAATCTCGTTATGTCTGAATTATAATTGAGAAAAAGTGAGATGCATGTCTCTTTTTTAGAATTGTAGGATAGAAGAATGAAATAAATCATCTTTCTTAAGGCCCAGTATTATCCTTAATATATTTCTGGATATGTTGTAAAACAAGTTGAAAGTCGTCTGAGGACATACTATTTCTGAATTTATGAAAAGTAAGAAGCTATTAAAGAAACCAAATAACTGACAGTTAAATGTAGACCTCAGATCATCTCTACGCTTTGAGAGTTATAAAATGTGGACTTCCTGGTAGTTCTATGTTTTGAGAGTTATACAATATTTTCAGTCTTTAAGAAGAGTTCCTTGAGAATGTTTACTCCATGCATGACTTGTAAACATTCCAGTCATCTCTGCTCTTGAATTCTTATTCATAGAATTTTTTTCCTTTCATATGTTAATGAAAAGCACACTGTGAGTGGATGAAAATCTTGCTGACTTTGCCTGTTGTAAGGGAATTTTTCCCCAGGTTTGTGATAGAATTCTTAGTTCTTAATATGCACATGAATGCCAAGAGAGTTATAGATGAAGATGTATATATGTGTGGATGTTGGTGTGGATGTGTATTGGATTTTTAAATTTTTAACAAGATTATTTCTTGTTCACACACAGAAGTGATCATTTTGGCTTTTTCTAGAATTTTCTATCACTGACAGGTCAAATGAAAGAAAAGCAGTCTTTCTGATACTTCTTTCCTTTTTTGATAAATTATGGTGGCAGGCAGTGTCAACCAACTGTGTCACCTCACAGTGAAACAGCCCCAATTCCAGTTCCTACTCAAATAAGGAATTATCAACGCATTGAACAGAATCTAACATCTACTGCCAGCTCTGGCACAAATCCGCATGGTTCTCCAAGGTAAGGCAGTGTCTGGATTCCTTTTTTAAAATTTGTTTCTTTAAAAACCTTTTATTTTTCTTACTGAAAATCTGTTAATTTCAAATATATAAATATATTTGCCCACAGGTATAATTACTTTTGAGAATTTGAGAAAGAGCTTGTTAAAAAATGAAATCCCAAATTGCAGTAAATTATTTATATATTGTTTATTTCCCATTTTGAGACCCCATTGAGATGATAGTAAAAGAATAACAAAGTCTGAGTCCACAAAAATAAGCAAAATAAGCAAAAAAATATTTATTGGTGACAGTTTCCAGTAAATTTTTTGGAAATGAAGAGGACTGAGGAAGGGTTCCTGCTTTAGCAGGCAGACATAAATGTGCATGTAATCAAGGATTCTGACAGAATGAGAATCACTATGCCTCTAGCCCCAGAGAGACCTGAATCTCAGAGAACTCAAGTAGAGTGGAGGAATTAGCACTTCAACTTCTGGTAACTTATTGTACATATACATGTACCTAGTCAGTTACATATTCTAGATATATAGCCTATGAATATAAAATTGTATATATAAAAAGTTATTAACTGTTATGATAGCAAAGAATGAAAAAGAAGCCAACTGCCCACCAACTGCTCACTGATTTGCTATAATTCATCTAAGACAATGGATTCCTATGTATCTTCTGTTCCAAAAGGGTAAGGAAGCTCTGTATTGAGGCAGAAAAATTACTATAGTATAGTATAAAATGAAAAAGAAAAAAAAAAAAGAATGGTTATAGTATATCAAGCAGTGACCCATGAGGTTAACAGTGTTTTCATAATAGTGCTAGGACATTGTTTCCTTTTTTCACTGCATGATACATGCACTGATGATGCAGAAAACAAAGATGAGTAATACTGCTGTTGCCTTAACTTGAACCAGGGTGATGACACTCAACTGTACTGTCAGTCTTTAGGCTCTTTACCACCACATACTTGTGTTATAAAGGAATGTCCTTGACAAATTATTAAAGGACTAAATTAATTCTCATTGAAAACCACAATCATTGAATAGAATGTGCATATAAAGCACTTTTGCTATTACAGTAGTTTTAGGAAAAGCACTGGTATGATTGTAAGCTAAATAATCACTTTTTTTTTTATAGAGCACTCTTTTTACTTCAATGAATGACTGACAAACTATGATATGTTTCTAGCAGTTGTTTTGTAAACATAAACTAAGTTTTATTACTTTGGAGAAAACAAGTGACAATAAATGTCTTTTTAAAATTTTTGGTGATATTAGGGATTAAACTTGGGGATACCCTACCACAGAGCTATGCCAGTCCTTTCTGTTTTTCACTTTGAGACAGGGTCTTAAATTACCCAGGCTGGCCTCAACTTGTGAGTCTCCTGCCTCAGTTTCCTGAGTTGCTGGGATTACAGGCATATGCCATGTAGTGGCATAAGTGACAATAAATGTCAATGATAAAATTGGAGCATTCAAGTAAAAAGTAGAATTTTGGAAAACTTATATTAACCCCTGTGATCTTGAAGATCAGAAGATCTTGTGATCAGAAGAGTCTTGCCAGACATTTCTGTTAACATTGATGGTGACATTTTGGTATGAATGTGACTTTTTGACATTATACGTTAAATATTTGGAATATCTGCATAATTAAATGAACCATTATTATCCAAATGATGAATGTTAAAAAAATCATTGAACAGATAAAAGGTTCATTCAGAGTAAAAGATACTTTGCAGAACAATGAAGTTTAATGTAACAGTGCAAGAGTTCACGGAGGTTGGGTATGGTGGCCCGTATTCTTGTGTTGTAGCACATTTGAAATAAATCACTGGCAGTCCTGAATCAGGATATGGGACTTTATTCACTGGTATGCCAAGTGACCAAGTTGACTTTGCCCGCCTTGACCCTTTGCAGAAGGCAGGGTATCTCTTTTACAGTCAAAACCCTCAAGCTACCAGTAATTCAATACATAGCAACCTAGGAAGTGGGTCTGAATGATTCAGTTCAGGGTACAGTACACTGCCCAAGAAAAATGGGAATTAAAAAGGAACATCTTACAAATGCATTTCTTTCTTTTTAAAAATATATTTTAGTTATACATGGACACAATATCTTTATTTTGTCTATTTTTATGTAGTGTTGAGGTTTGGATCCAAGTGCCTCACATGTGTGAGGCAAGTGTTTTGTCACTGAGCCACAACCCCAGCCCAAAATGCATTTCTTAATAATACATTGTATAAGAATAACAGAAACATTTTTTAACCACCCTGCATTGTCAGACAGGGTGTGCTCAGCAGGAGGTGGCAGAGGTGGGATTTTCTCATGGGAGAAGCATTTCTTACATGAAATGGAGTCTCAGGGTAAAATGGAGTTTGTCTGGTCAAGGCATAGCATTCTCCCCTTTTCTGGAAAAAAAATCAAACCCTTGATTTACCTTCTGATTATGTAAGGGATTATAATGGCCACACATATATATATATTACTTGACTAACAAAATATGTTGTTTTAGCAGTTTGGGCCTTGTAACATAATCTGAATAAGAGGAAAAACATGATTATCATTTTTTTTCAGTTTTATCTTTAGAGGGTGGTTAGGGTCTCAGAGGGCTGTCCATCTTCTGCAGGAGACATTTTTGTTGTCTTGACTCAGGTGTGAAACCATGCTATGAGTCCTTCGGGGTAGTAACTGAATAAGGTCCCCTCCAGCTGGATGTTAGTTCTTCTTTTTTGGAACCATTTGATGTAGACTAGTCTTCTGGCTAGAATGGTTGTTGGAGATATGTAGTCTCTTGGGGCTGGTTTTCTCAAAGGAATTTATGAGCTTTAAGTTGAACCTATTGTAGAGACTTAGCAACAGGAGCAGGTTATCTTGGTGAGTGTGGAAGAAAGGCTCTGGAGGCATTAACATTTTAATCCCCCAGAGGCAATTTCTAAATTTTTGGACTCAAACTGGCCTCTATTTTTGTGATCTGATCTGATTACATATCTACACTGACTGACTCTTTAATTTTTGTTTTCTTTTGTCTACTTTTCCTAATTTTAGGGAATTTTTCATGCTGTAGAGAAAAGGGCGATGACTGCTCTTGCTGCTTTGAGCTGAGAGGGGGGTGATGTGGGGTGGGGCAATCAGTTTGGAGTCCCCTTTTAGAAATCAGTTCAGTCAAGGGGTCCACGCTAAAAGTCTGGTTCGGGAAGAACAGGTTGTAAAGTCATCTAGGGGTGGGTGCTTCTATGAGAGAGAAACAAAAAGACATTAGTACTGAAATGAGATTAAATGTTGGGGCATCTGGAACATGTCAATGAATATCACAAAGATGATAGAAATCAATAATCTCTTCCTTAGGATGTGGAAGAGCTGAGAAATTGTTCCCATCACAAGGCCTAACAAAGCCTAACATGGCCTTTATTTGGGAAGTAAATCTTTAACATTGCCAGAGTTATCAGGAAAGTAAACACAACATTTGGTTAAATTGCTTAATGTCATCTGATTTTTATAAAATATTTTATTGTCACAACCTGTGTGGTTAATAGGGGTCCCTTATCTTTGTTACTTAGGGCCAGATAATTATACTAGCAAACATTGATTAAGCCTATCTGTGTAGGAGGTTGGGAAGATCTGTAGGCCTTAAACTGACTAAAAACTCCTGACTCTGGCAGTTTTTCTTGATAGTTATCAGGCACTCCTGCCTAAGAATCTCTTTTGTCACCTCCAGTCTCATTTATTCTTGGGGGGGCTAACCCAAGTGTACATTCTAAGTTACATTAAGATAACTGTAGTTTTATAAGTGTCCAGGAATGGCTGTGTTTTGGTTTTAACTGTTTTTTTGTTAGGTGCTTAAGATGAAGCTGGTCAAATTAACCTTGTTCCTTGGGGGTTACTTGTTCCCTTGTGGGTCACTCTGGGGAACTTATGAGCAGCCTTTAGTTCTGCTAATGCCATCCACCAGGATAACTCAAGGTTTTGCTGACCATGTGGCTTCCCTTGGAAGCGTCAGGGATGTCTGCATTTTCCAGTTATCCTCCTCTTTTGCTGTATGGGCACTGATTAGCTTTCTTTTTTGGGGTCCTAGTAATCTCCCTGATTGGGAGGTTCATGTGACCCAGAGTTGATGAAAAGTTCCTTTGTCCCCTGGATTCAAGCTGACTCAGAGGGCAAGAACCAAATATTGGTTTTGTTGGCCCTTTTTATTTTAACCTTAATCTTTAAGCCTTGGTCTTAAACATCCAGCAAGCCAGTCCTACAAGTCTTAATGTATGAATACTGGGCTTTAAATTTAATGTTTAAAACTTTACAGTCATTTTTACCCCTTTTATTTAATTGGGGTCTGTATTAGTACTGGAAGTTAACATTATATACTGTGTATAGATGATGGCCTAATATCTCATATTAACTTAGGTTATTATAAGGCATTAGCAGATAGCAGTTAAAGTTTGCAAGGAAAATTTAAAATGAAATTAACAAGACTAAAAGCATATTTAGTTTGTATACAATCTTGAACCTTGGCTGGTTATATGTTATATCCCCTGTTTGAGATCACAATAATTTTTACAATAAATATCAATCTTTTGAATATAACTTTAAATGAGCTGAAGCCTGGCCTATTTTGAAGCCATTCTAACATGTAGTAAGGTGGGAGGCAGAACCTTTACTCCGGTAAGGTGGGGTTCTTCACAAATCTTAGGTGAAGCGTTCTAGTTCTGAAGTTGATCTTTGCCTCTTTCTTAGATCCATTTTATAAAGTTTACATAATATTGTTTCCTGAGTCTATATAAATGTTAGTTAACACAATATAACATTATATTTAAAACATGAATCAAAGGCTGAGAGAGCTTTTAAGTTTTTCTTTTGTGTGGAAAAGTGGCAAAATATTTTTGTTTTACATTTTTAACCTTTAAACAGATCAATCTCTCATTGTCTTTTGAAAATACCTTTAAATTTTTTATATCCCCTTGATCACAGAACATTGATTACAGAATATTAAATGATATAAATAAATCTCCAATTAAACTTCTTATTTTTATAAGCCTAAAATTACAATTACAGACTACTTCAGTTTGGAGAACACCAGCTTGATAAAATGCTCTTTTTAAAAAAATATTTATTTTTTAGTTGTAGGTGTACACAATATCTTTATTTCATTTTTATGTGGTGCTGAGGTTTAAACCTAGTGCCTCATATGTGCAAGGTGAGCACTCAACCACTGATCTTTGCCTCTTTCTTAGATACCATTTTATAAATGTTCCCAAATGCTCTTTTAAACCTTTTACTTTAAAGACGTGTATACCTGGAAGATATGAATACATTTAATATGTAAAGAAGATTAATAGCATCATAATTACATTGATGTTTTTTATTAACCTAGTTTAGCTTTTAAAGAAAATTTAGACTTTGTAATGTATAATACTCTAAAATAATAGTTGTTGTTTAATCAGAGTTGTACAAACCCTAATTTTTTCAGACTAGTTGCTCTAGAGAATGAAATATAACAGACACAATGTTAGGAGTAAATTAATGTTTTAAGAAATTCTTGTTATTTTAACAGATTAAACTTTGGTTTATATTAGTACATTAATATTTGATCTTGGGGAAAAACCTGGAGCTTTAACTGATTTGTGTTACTTATAATCAACTTAGTTACACACAAACCTTTTTTTTTTTTTGAAATTTGCCTTTTATTTATACAGACCTTTTTATCACTTAATTAGACTCTCTTGTTTATGTAGATGTATTACAACTTTATTTTTACCACATAAAGACTTTCTTACCTAGAAGTGTTTTTTCCCATATTTTATTAAATATATTTTAATACCTAGAACATTTTTTTATTATCAGTTTGTGAAAATACCAATAATATTTAATTATATTACCCTATGGAATTTAAGGAGTTAAGAGTAACAGTATTTTAACTTTGTAAATTAATCAGATGTTTTTAACAAATACATTTATGATTAATCTCAGGTGTGTCAAATCTAATTTACTTATTTTTAAAAACCAAGATATCAGACAAGTGTATTGAGCAGCATCAGCCATCTCTTCCTTATTGAAGAAAAATCCTAGAAACAATGGATATTAGACATTTTGTAGACATCAACAATTTATCAGTTGTTTGACCATCTAGAAAAAAAAATACAAACTGTGAGTTAGTAACTTTAAAGATATCTTGACTTTTATTTGTTTATACCTGTTGGGACTTCTAACTCTTCGTTACCTTTTTCCCAATGATGGCACAAAGCAATTTAAAACCCTTTTATATTTTCTAAACACATGTAGACATGAAAATTAACTGATATATATATATATATATATATATATATATATATAAAATATATATACACACACACACAAAACAAACAAAGGCCTTGTAGCTTATTTTTTTGAATTAATTAATTTTTAAATTTATACATAACAGTGGAATGCCTTACAATTTTTACCTATATAGAGCTCAGTTTTTCGTATCTCTGGTTGTATGCATAGTATACTCACACCAACCTATTAGATTGAGAGCTAACCCTTGTAAATTGGCCTGTGACTTTAGAAAGTTTTAGACACTTTATTCTTTCTTCATGGGCTCCTTCCTGTGCAAAGAAGCTTAAACGTTACATTTTGCTACTGGGCTAGTATGAAGATGAATATGATTTATGACAGAGTGCATTTATTTATTTTTCGTAGGATTTCAAAATAAAACATTTCCGTTGGATTTAGGCATTGTGCCTATTCTGTCCAATGGATATACCAAATCTGAAAAAAACAAAAAAACAAAACTGGCCTCTGAATGAAGCAGAATGTAAAACAGAACCTCTATAGTTGGATAAAATAGGTCTGATCAGAAAAACACATTAACCTAGGCATGCTGGATCAAAATTATGAGCTCAAAAAATACAGAATTTTAAAAGCCTACCAGGCCTCTGTCCTCTGTGGTCTTGCTCATCAGAGGTGAAAAGAGTTCGAAAAAAGAAATGAGGGCTTGTGGACTCATAGGGGCCCAGAAGTCTGTCTCTCTCTCTCTCTCTCTCTCTCTCTCTCTCTTTCTTTCTCTCTATCAAATCTGATTCTAAACTGGTTTGTCTGGTCTCTTGGACAGCAGCCACCAAAATTTTTATCCTGGTGTTGTGCAGCTTTATCAGCTGGGCTGTCATGATTGTTGAAAAACCTTTGGGCTGCCTCTAATAGTTGAGAGGTATTCATGACTGCAAATTCTTTAAGGTTTTGGAGTTTTCTGTGAATATCTGGGGTTGACTAAGAGGCAAAAGCCAAATGTAGGCCTGAGAGTTTTTTCCTAGACAAAATGATATGGCTGTTAATTATTTTAGCATGAGAGAGTGAGAAAGAGAGTGACAGAGAAAGACAACCCTGAAATCATTTTTCTCCCTGAGCTGTAGCCAGGGAGAAGTTTTCAGATTGGTCCCCTGCTGAGTCTGTCAGCAGTTGTTCACTTTCCAATGTAAGCTTTAGTGAGCTAGGGCTTTTTAACCATTTTTTCCTCAGTTGGTAATCAGGCCAGGTTTGGATTAGGTTTCCCATGACAAGGCTAACAATTAAAACAATAGGCAAAAATTCATGAACAAACAAGAAACAGATGTGGACCAACAGAGACAGACATGTACAAACAGACCAATATCCTGTCTTCCATCCCCAGACACCAGACTGTCACCATGGTCTATTTACTGGCTCTCTGGATTTAGGTAAGAGACAGAGCATGGATAAGACACTCTTTCCTCCAATACCCAGATGTCAGACCATGAAGATCACAGTCTGTTTATCGGCCCTCTGGGTCACAGCCCTGGATCTCCTCATACACCCTGCGAAACATCAAAAGGAGAGAACAGATGAGGTACCTCCAGACACATGCAGTTGCACATCCTCCCTCATGGGCAGGCTCAAATCGGTCACTACAGAAAGCCTAGACCCTCAGAAGACCAAGAGATCCCACAACTAGAAAGGAGAGCGCCTCTAAATCCCTGTGTGCCTGGAAGCCATAACCCTGACTAAATGTTGTGGTATGTTTGAAATAAATCACCGAGTCAGTCTTGAAGCAGGACATGGGACTTTATTCGTTTGCAGGCCAAGGGACAGTGACCAAGTCGACTTTGCTCCCCTTGACCCCTTGCACAAGGCAGGGTATCTTCTTTATAGCCAAAACCTACAAGCTACCAGTAAGTCAACATCATAGCAGCCTAGGAAGTAGGTCTGAATGATCCAGTTCGGGGTATAGTATACTGCCCAAGAAAAATGGGAACAAAAAAAGAACATCTTAGAAATGCATTTCTTAATAATACATAAAATTTTTTTAACTGCCATACATTGTTATGTGTGTGCTCAGCAGGAGGTGGCAGAGGCAGTGTTTTCTCATAGGAGAAGCATTTCTTTTATTAAATGGAGTCTTGGGGTAAAATGGATTTTGTCTGGTCAAGGCACATATAATTTGGCCCATAACACCTGTAATCCCAGCAGCTCAGGAAGCTGAGGCAGGAGGATCACAAGTTCAAAGCCAGCCTCAACAACTTAGGCCCTAAGCAACTCAGCAAGACCCTGTTTCTAAATAAAATATAAAGAAGGGCTAGAGATGTGGCTCAGTGGTTAAGTGCCCCTGGGTTCAATCCCTTGTTAAAAAAAGAAAGAGTTCAAGGAGATAGTTTCAGATTCCCCATTGCAACCAAACTAATCTTTTAGATAAAACCAACACTTATTGAGGTTTGGTTTAGTATCAAAAAGAAGAGTATCATTGATTTGAAAAGACTGAAATACTCCTTCCTTTTTTTGTACATATGTGTGTTAGGCTGGATCTTCTTCATGGAAAACTTACCTTAGAATGACATATTGTGTAACAGACTGCAGAATCAGTTGTGAGAATCCAAATGTCTTCTGTTAAACCAGATATTAGAGATTTGCAGAAATGTATAATAATGTCATGTTAATTTGTTTTGGAAAAATACATATTTTCATAATATTATATTAAATGTAATGTTAATTATTTTTAGTGAATTTATAAAATTTTAAATTTCTGAATTTTATTTTGAATACATTAAGATCAGTACATAAGGTTACATAAACAAAATGCTCTGGGATCTTTGGACCTAAGACCCAGAAGATTGAAAATAATTGGTAGCCAGGTACGGTGGCGCACGCCTGTAATCTCAGTGCCTCGGGAGGCTGAGGCAGGAGATTGTGAGTTCAAAGCCAGCCTCAGCTACAGTGATGTGCTAAGCAAATCAATGAGACCCTGTCTCTAAATAAAATACAAAATAGGGCTGAGGACATGGCTCAGTGGTCCAGTGCCCTTGAGTTCAATCTCTGGTAACTGCCCCCCACCCAAAAAAGAAAATAATTGGTATGTAATATATCACCTTTGGTGTTGAAACAAGGTGAAAGTGCTTGTGTGTACATTAAGGAACTCAGGAAAGATACACTATAAAAAACAGTGGTAACCTTTCCAGTAGATTGGGAAAATATTTAGAATTTATCAGTGGGGATAGGTAGACTTTACCTTATATCATTTTATATTTTATATTTGTTCCATGTGACTGTTACCTGTTTTTAAAAGCTCTTCTTTGTGGCTTATTGTTAGAAAATTTCAGGGAGGGGGAAAAAAAAAACAGAAATAAAGAAGAAATCCTAGAACCTGCCAGAGAAGGAATAATTCTCTTTTTCTCTTTAGATCTGCTGTGGTACAAAGGTCTAACACCAGTCCCATGGGCTTCCTCCGGTTGGGATCTGGCTCCCCTGCACCAGCAGACACAGCTCAGACAGTTGGACGAAGACTGTCTATTGGGTCTTCTAGGCCTTATTCACCTTCCCCTTTGGGTAAGGAGAGTTTAAAGCAATTGTTTTTTAATCTTCTCTGTAACAAATTTGGTATGAAATATTATTTTTAGGGACATTGATTCATCATGGCAGTGATTCTGAGCTGATTTGAGGCCATCCCTCCTCCACTACCCTATTCCCAGTTCCTCCTTGAGAATCTCTACATAAATCTGTTAGGATTGATGTTGAAAATATAATAATATAAATTAATTTTACATGTCAAAAGCATCCTCATTGGCTTTGGCATCCAAATACAATGTTAGAAACTCTAGATTAAAGTGCATAAAATGCCTATCTTTCTTATTGCTCAGACACATGAGAATTAACATTGCATCTCTGAGTCACATTCACTACACACCTTCCAGCTCTAATAGGAGTATAGTAGCAGCTTTGTTACATATCTCCCTATTTTGCCTAGAAAATGATTTTGGAAACAGAACCTTAAACAAAGCAACAAAAGAAACCCTACCAAGCCGAAAACCAAAGAGACCAAATAGTGAAATGTAAGAGTCAAAATGCTCAAACTCAGAAAATGTGTAAGTGAGAACAAAGCCACTGAGGGCAGTATCTGTGAGAAACACCATGAGGTAGTGGGAAGAACAGATGGTACAGAGGAGCCCCATCTATAGTTAAAGCTGCTGAAATCTTAGTAGACAGAGCAGGGTTGTAGGTAGTCCCCCAGGAACCCCAAGATGATGTGGTGTGTGTGTGTGTGTGTGTGTAATGTTTAAATTGCCTTATCACTTGTTGCAGTGATTTCAGCTGAAAAATCTTTAAACAAAATCTTGGCACTCCAGGGTCTCCAAAGACAAAGATTATCCTTGCATGTCAGTGAAAAGGTCCTTAGTATCTAATCTCTGCTTATTGCTTTATCACCAGGACATTGCTCCTTCTTGTTTTAGATATGTCTCTTGTCTGTTTAAATTCCCTGGTACTGTCCCTGATTCTCCCTCTGTGTCAGTTTGGATTTTTGGGAAGGTGGATGCAAAGAAGGTATTAGGTATGTAAGAGGCTGAGGGAAGTAGGGAGCCAGGGAGGGTCCTCAGACCAAGATTCAGGTCTGACACCTGGGAAAGGAGGGTAATAAGGGAGACAATAAGGCAAGAAAAGTCTGAGACTATAGCATAGGTCTAAGAAAGTTTTAACCATACTATGGGAATAGCCCTAAGCACTGGTCTGTCAGAGGCATTCTATGACCCACTCTCAACATGCCTGAATCAGTTGTTGACCCCTGGGGGAAGCCTGGCTTCAGACAAACATGAATCCATAGGGACAGCTGCTGGGCTGTCATCTGTGTCCTGCAGCTCCACAATCCCCAAGCACTTTGTATAAACTCTTACATGTCTATATAGACATTTATTTATTTATTTAGACTTTTTTCCTAATGATTTTGTTTCAAGGATGGATGTATATGGTACTTTTTATCTTAGCTTACCTACTGCCTTGCATATTGGTTATTCAGTAAGTACTGGTTCAACTAAATTTTAGCAAATTATGTACCAAGCAATTTTTGCATGCATTGCCTGTTTCCATTCTTAATTAGTTTTTTGAATAATTTATTCTTCTTTTCTCCATGTCTCACTTCATAGTTGGTACCATTCCTGAGCAGTTTAGTCAGTGCTGTTGTGGACATTCTCAGGGCCATGAATCCAGAAGTAGAAACTCTTCAGGTAGGAAAATACATTTGGTATATTAGAAATTTGAATTTTATTATGAATGGACTTATTTTGTATTTCTAGCCTTATCAAAAGGACAGCATTGGTAAGAAATATTTCCAATGCTATCCTGATTTTTAGAATCTTTTTTTTAAATGTTTTTTAGTTGTAGATGGACATAATACCTTTATTTTATTTTTTTATGTGGTGCTGAGGATCGAACCCAGGGCCTCGCACATGCTAGGCGAGCGCTCTACCACTGAGCCACAACCCCAGCCCCTGATTTTTAGAATCTTGAGCGCTTGCCTAGCACAGGGTTCGATCCTCAGCACCACATTAAAAATAAATAAAGTAAAGCCATAAAAACATATATATTAAAAAAATAAAGAAAATAGTCAAAGGAATTAGACAATTAGATAAATTTTGGTCATTGTTACAGATGATAATTTAGAAAGTGAAATTTTATTATGGCATTTGCTGGTAAATAGATGAAACTGGAGACTATCATGCTAAATGAAATAAGCTAGATTCAGAAAATTAAAGGGTGAATTTTTTTTTTCTGATATGTGGAAGTTAATCCAAAAAAAGGGGGAAAATTAAAAGATGGGGGGAGGTGGGAATTCCATCAAAACAGAAGATCATGGAGTTTAGGAAGGGGATTGAGAGGGAGGGAGAGGGATGGAATAAGGGAAGGACAGTGGAATGAATCTGACCTAACTTTCCTATGTACGTATATGAATATACCACAGTGAATCTCATGTGAATCCACAAGACACTAATTAAAAAAATAATAATAGCAGAAAGATCAATAGAATAGAGGGAAGGAAACAGGGAAGGAAGGAGAAGAAGGAAAAGGGAAGCACTGGAGACTGAATTAGAGCAAATTATATTCTGTGTTTAAAATTATGTTAAAATGAATCATTATAGATAACTAAAAAGAACCAATAACCAGGTGCTGTGGCATATGCCTGTGATCCCAGAGGCTCAGGAGGCAGAAGGATTGCGAGTTCAAAGCCACTCTCAGCAACTTAGCAAGGCACTAAGCAACTCAGTGAGACCCTGTCTCTAAAGAAAATACAAAATAGGGCTGGGGATGAGGCTTAGAGGTTGAGTGCCTCTGAGTTCAATCCCCAGTACCAAAAAAACAAAACAAAACAAACAAAAAAAAACAAGAACAGAAATTTAATGTTGCCGTTTGTTGTTTTCATTAACTTTTAACTATTTACTACATAATCCCTTTAGACCTTGCATTAATCTGAGTTGTTAGCTCTTGACAAAAATAGCTCATATATTCATCATCAATATATTTCATCTCATGCCCGGCATGTATTTCCGAGATAGAGCACTTGCCTAGTACGTGTGAGGCACTGGGTTTGATCCTCAGCACCACATAAAAATAAATAAACAAAACTATTGTGTCCCATCTACAACTAAAAATACTTTAAAAAGAATAAGACATTCATCAGAATTCTCATTTTAAAACTTGCCCTCTTGTTTCCTAAGTTTTTGCTGTATACTTCACTATTGGTTAACCTTTTCATTCATTTTTTTGGTAGGTTCTCCAGTGCCACAGGCTCAGTCACCACAGTCTCTCTTATTGGGTGCTAGACTGCAGAGCGCCCCTACCCTTACTGACATCTATCAGAACAAACAGAAGCTAAGAAAACAGCACTCTGACCCTGTGTGCCCATCCCATACTGGGGCTGGATACAACTACTCACCTCAGCCCAGTCGGCCTGGCAGCCTTGGAACATCTCCCACCAAGCATATGGGATCTTCTCCACGGAGTTCTGATTGGTTCTTTAAAACTCCTTTACCAACAATCATTGGTTCTCCTACTAAGGTGTGTTCCTTAAATCTTTTTGTAGATCATGAACTGCTTTAGTACTTTATGGAAAGAATATAAGATAACCATAATTTTAATGAGCACTTACTTACTATGCACCAGGCACCGTGTAAATATTTGTTGAATGCTTTATGTGCATGATCTCATTAATCTTCAGAAAAGGAAATTGAGATTTAGAGAGCTTAAAGAACTGTTCAAGATCACACAGGCTGTAAATGGAAGAGCCAATGTTTGAATCCAGTCTGACTAACTTAAAAGCCTGCCAAAATTTATACATCATATTAACTAGTTTACATATGTTTGTTTAGACCACAGCTCCTTTCAAAATCCCTAAAACACAAGCATCTTCCAACCTGTTAGCCTTGGTTACTCGTCATGGGCCTGCTGAAGGGCAGTCCAAAGATGGGAATGACCCACGGGAATGTTCCCATTGCCTTTTGGTACAAGGAAGTGAGAGGCATCGATTTGAACAACAGAACAAAGCAGTGTTTGGCAGGTAAGATATTGTTTCTTCTCTAATCTTAAAAATGAAAACTGAAATAGCAAAATAAGTACATTTTTGTTATAAAAGCAACCAGACTACATTAGTAGCCAGCATAAGCTATATGATTGTTAATGCACATGGTGTACTTCAGAAGGTCCGAAAACTTACTATAACTGTGTGAATACAGAGCTTTTCCCTGAATTTGAACATTTTATTTCTGTCTTTTATTTTATTTATTTATTTATTACTTATAGTTGGACACAATACCTTTGCTTCATTCATCTATTTTTATGTGGTGTTGAGGATTGAACCTAGGGCCTCGCATGCACTAGGCGAGCGCTTTGCCGCTGAGCCACAACCCCGGCCCCTGTCTTTTTTGTTATGGAAGTTTATCTTTACCTTGAATTGTTTGGCATCGATTTTTTTGTGTCCTTGCTTTATAATGTCCTATTAACCCTTCTATTTTTAAAAAAGTGAATTTCCCATTAATAGCATCACTGTTCTTTTTAGATCTGTCAGTACTGGGAAGTTATCAGATCAACAAGTAAAGGCATCTTTAGGTGGACACCAGGGCAGCACTGATAGTTTAAATACAGAACGGCCTATGGATATAGGTAAGAAAAATCTAGTTTCTTTTTAGGTAGGTAATTTGTAAGTATATGCATTAGTTTCTTATTACTCTTGTGATAAATCATCACAAACTGGTGGCTTAAAACAACTCAGATGTATAATCTTAAAGTATTGGCAGTCATTTCTCATATCTATGATGACAGAGGCTTATTTGGTATCTTGATGATCAGCAGCCTTTGAATTGGAAGAAATTCCTTCCAAAAATGTTTTTTATTAGTAAGATTTTATAGGCCAAAGTTAGCCTAAAAACACATGTACTCCTGAGCATTTCTTTGACAGCAACTTGATCCTATAAAGGTCTGATTACTGAGATCTCTAAACCTTTCATAGTTGTTTTAGGGACTGTTACATCCATAGACACTCACATCTAGATTTTGTGAACTATTTATCACAAACAAAAACAAAAACAAAATGGATGTTCCAGACCCTAACCTAGACTTGCTTAATCAAATTTTCTGCGGATGGATTCTGGGAATCCCTAGGTAATTATTATGTATATTAAAATTTGGAGTCTATTGTAACTTCTTTGTTCTTATTTTCTCTGATTTTTAAATTGACTCACTTCTGAATATCTAAAGGACAAAGTACCTGGGCCAACAAAATATCTGATTGAATGTGGTTTCTAATCCAAAGGGATATTTCACAGTGCTGTCTTCTTGTCTGCAAGGTTTTTGAAGAGAAGGCCGGTGTAATTCTTATGATGGTGGTTTGCATGGTATCATTTCCCATTTTTTTTTTTTTTTTACTTTCAGCCTTGCTGTATCGTTGACACTAAAGTATGTCCTCTGTAAACACAGAGTTGGGTCTCCTTAATCTGATAATCTCCAACTATTGTTTAGATTATTTAATTTGTTTACATGTTAGTATCATCGACACAGTTGTTTTTGCCTATACATTTTACTTTTTGGTTTCTTTTCTCAGTTTTTGGTACTGGGGCTTGAGCACAGGGGTGCTTAACCACATCCTCAGCTCCTTTTAATTTTTTATCTTATGACCAGGTCTTGCTAAATTGTTTAGGGCTTCACTAAGTTGCTGATCTTTGTGATCTTCCTACCTCAGCCTCCCAAGTTGCTGGGATTATAGGTGTACATCACCACGCCTGGCTTGTTTTCTTTTTCTTTTTCCTTTTGCATTAAGTGAATATTTCCTAGTTTCATATTTTGGTCCCCTTAATGATGCTTGTCACTTCTATCTTCCTTTCTTCCTTCCTTTTAGGATTGAATCCAGGGATGCTTTACTACTAAGCTCCATCCCCAGCCCTTTATTTAAAATGACAGAGTGGCCAGGCATGGTGATGCATGCCTGTAATCCCAGCAGCCCGGGAGGCTGAGGCGGGCAGATCTCAAGTTGAAAGCCAACCTCAGCAAGTGAGGCACCAAGCAACTCATTGAGACCCTATCTCTAAATAAAATCCGAAATAGGTCTGGGGATGTGGCTCAGTGGTCGAATGCTCCTGAGTTCAATCCCTGTACCCCCCCCCCCCGCCAAAAAAAAATTGTAGATGGACATAGTATCTTTATTTATTTTTTGTGGTGATGAGGATTGAACCCAGTGCCTCCTCACACATGCTTTGTAATGCTCTCCACTGAGTCCCATCCCCAAACCTTTTTATTTTTTATTTTGAGTCAAGATCTTGCTAAATTGCTGAGGCTGGACTTGAATTTGCTGTCCTCCTGCCTCAGCTTCCTGAGACACTGGGATTACAGGCATGTGCCACTGTGCCTGATTTAGTTCTTTTCTTCCTAGTTGCTTTTGGGCTTATAATAATCATGGTAAGTTATCACAGTTGACTTAAGATTTATACTAATTGGATTCCAGTGAAACAGAAACATTACTCCTAAATAATTCTTCCCTCTTTAAGTACTATATTTTTGCTTTCTTTTTTTAGTGCTATTGTTATTATTATATAGAAACTCAGTGATACATTATTATATTATTACTTTGTATGTTATGTCTTTTAAAGAAGCTGCGGTAGGAAAAGAAAACATGTTTTTCTTTATAGTTATCTTACCTTCTTATTTACCATTTCTTGTTCTCTCCATTTGCTTTTATGGATTTGAGTTGTCATCTGGTGTCACTTTTTTACTGCAAGAAAGCTCTGCTCCCATCTGCCTCCTATATTCCATTTCTATTTAGGTCCAACAATGCAATTAGATAGATAGATAGATAAATAGATAGATATGTTGTTTTATACAGTTGCTTTTTAAATCATACAGTTGCTTTTTAAATAGTAAGAGAATAAAGGAGAAAATGATGCAGTTATAATGTTTTATAATTATATATTTACCTTTATCTGTGTTCTTTTGTTTCTCTTCACTCAGATAAAATTACTTTCTGGGGTCATTTAGGCTTGAAGAACTTTCCTTGGTTTTTCTTGTTAGAATAACAGGTCTGCTAGCAATAAATTCTCTCAGCTTTTGTTTAGACATTTTGGGATATCTTTTTGGTTTCACTTTTGAAAGAGTTTTGATTCATAAAAGATTCCCAGTCAGTCATGGTAATGCATATCTGTAATTCCAGCAACTCAGGAGGATCTCAAGTTTGAGGCTAGATTCTGTAATTTAGTAAGAGCCCTGTGTTTAATCCCCACTACTGGAGGAAAAGAAGATTCAGGGTTGATAGCTTTTTGTTTCAGTAGTTTAAATATGCCATCCCACTGCCTCTGGCTTCCACAGTTTCTGCTCATAAGTTATCTGTTACTCTTATTTGATTTCTTTTTTGACAAATTATTTTTTTCTTTCTATTCTCAAGGTTTGTGTCTTTCACTGGTTACTGTGATGATTTTGGGTATTTGCCTTTATTCTCCTTGGAAATTCTTGAACTTTTTTGATATGTAGATTAGTGTTTTTATCAAATTTTTAAAGTATTTAGCCATTCTTTATTTGGATATTTTTTTCTATTCCTGTTTCTTCTTAAATTCTCATTATTTTTATATTGGTATACTCAGTTGTGTCTCATGTTTCTCCAAGGTTCTGTTCACTGTACAGTTGGCCCTTGATCAACATAGTTTTGAACTATCTGGGTCCATTTATACACATATACACAAATTTTTTTTTTTAGATTTACAACAGTTTGATAAAAACTTAAAAGACAAATCATGTAGCCTAAAAATATTGAAAAAATTAAATCAGGTGTAGCATGAATGCATAAAATACATGTATATAAAAGTCTATTTTATCATTTATCACCATAAAATATACACAATCTATTTTGAAAAGTTAAAACTGATCAAAGATACTGAAAAAATGTACAAGGCTGCCTTTACTATTGAGAGAAATATAAACAAACATAAAAATGCAGTATTAAATCATAAAAAGCATAAAGTTAACTATAGCATATACGGTACTACTTTAATAATTTCATAGCTACTTGATACTATTGCAGTGAGTTTAACTATTATGAATATCTGCTTAAATTACTGTGTTGCTGTAATCATCTTCACCTGAGCAGTTTGTCTCTCCAGTGAATTGCATATTGCAGTGCCAAGAACATACAGTGAAGAAAGGATAGCCTGTTCAATAAATGGTATTTGGAAAACTAGATATACAAGCTAGGAGCAGTGGCACTCACCTGTGATCCCCGAGATTTGGAAGGCAGAAGTAGGAAGATTGTAAGTTCAAGGACTGCTTCAACTACTTAGTGAGACCCTATTCAAAATAACAAATAAAAAAGATTAAGGATATGGTTCAGTGATAAAGCACCTCTAGATTCAAAAATCTAGTACCAACAGAAGAAAAAAAAATAAAAAAAATATATGTGCAGAAGAATGAAACTAGACTCTTACCTCTCACCATATACAACATATCAACTCATGTCAGTTGTGTTGGATCACAAGATTGAGGCCAATCTAGGCAATTTAGAGAGACTGTCTCAAAATAATTAAAAGGCTAGGAGTGTGTAGCTCAGTGCTAAAGCATTTGCCTTGCATGCATAAGGCCCTGTGTGGCATCCCTAGTAGCACACACAGCACACAAGATCAACTCAAAATGGATCAAGGACCTAAACAAGTAAGAACTAAAACTAGCATAAGAAAATAGACAATTTAAAACATTGTTATAGGCAATTTTTTTTGGGGGGGGATAAGAACCTAAAAATAGCGATGGGGTTGTGGCTCAGTGGTAGAGCACTCGCCTAGCATGTGTGAGACCCTGGGTTCCATCCTTAGCACCACATAAAAATTAATAAAATAAAGGTATTGTGTCTAACTACAAGAAAAAAATACATTTTTTTTTTTAAAAAAAAAGAACCCCCAAAACACAGGCATCAAGAGCAATGAGATTACTATCAAATTAAGAAACCCTTCACAGCAAAGGAAACAACAGTAATACCTAGTTCTCTACAGAATGGGAGAAAATATTTGCAAACTATTCATCTGGCAAGGAGTTACTACTCAGAATAATATGAACTCAAACAATTCAATAGCAAAAGACCCTAAATAATCCAATTTTTTAAATAGGGCAAATTTTTGAATAAAAAATTCTCAAAAGAGAGGTAAACTGCTCAAAATCACTAATCATAAAGGAAAGGCAAACCAAAACTACAGTGAGGTAACATCTCGCCCAGATAGAATAACTGTTATCAATAAGACAAGTAGTAACAAATGCTGCTGGACTCAGTGGCCCATGTCTCTGATCCAGTGACTGCAGTGACCGAGGCAGGAGGATTGCAAGTTTGAGGACAGCCTGGGTAACTTAGCAAGATCTTGTCTCAGCATGAAAACAATTATTAAAAAAAGGATTTGAGCCAGGCACAGTGGTGCATACCTGTAATCCCAGCAGTTTAGGAGGCTGAGGTGGGAGGATCATGAATTCAAAGCCAGCCTCAGCAACTTAGCGGGGCCCTAAATAACTCAGTGAGACCCAGTCTCTAAATTAAAAAAATATATATGTGTGTGTGTGTGTGTATGTGTATGTCTATATATGTGTGTGTGTGTGTGTGTGTGTGTGTGTGTGTGTGGCTGGGGATGTTGCTCAGTGGTTGAGTG